TATCCGAAATGCTACACCTTGTATAAATGGTTGACCGATATTCCAAATCATATCGCTATAAAATGTGTAAGATTTAATTAAGAACAGATTATAATGTATAATATTTGTTATAAAGTTCTGTTTAGATGCATTTACCCCATATTGTTCTGTAAAATGTCCCACTGTTGCTTACTTAAAGACTTTTTATTTTTAAAAAGTGGATTTATGAGCTGATATATACAGTATATGGATTCTTTCAAATTATATGAGGTGAAAAGTTTAAAGATCAGCTTCCATGACTCAAGCTCGCTTATTTGAAAGCCAGTTTGAATGCTTCCTTCTTAAAGGATTAGTTCACCTAAAAAGGAAAATTCTGTCATCATTTACTCATTCTCAAGTTGTTTCAAACCTGTATGAATTTCTTTTTTCTGCTGAACACACACACACACACAAAAAAAAAGCTATTTTGAAGAATATGGGTAACCAAAAAGTTGATGTACCCCATTGACTAATATACTATAAAATACTATAAAAGTCAATGGGTGCCGTCAACTCTCTGGTTACTGACATTCTTCAAAACGTCTTCTTTTGTGTTCAGCAGGAGAAAGATACTCATACAGGTTTGGAACAACTTGAGAATGAGTAAATGATGACAGAATTTTCATTTTTGGGTGAACTATCCCTTTAATTTCCTTCTTAAAAATCAAATTAGGCATTCAAATCCAAAACTCCTGCTCAAATCTTTTTTAGCCGATGTATTGCCGACGTCTAAAACATTCCGTCCTCCCTCTGAGTATGGCTTTATCAAAGACTTTCTAGTGATGTGTTCCAGCTTATTTTTCCATATAAACTTATTTTAAGAGAGTCAATAGATTAGTTGTTAAAGTCAACACAAAGATATATAGTTGGATAAACAATGTGTGACATTCCTTCAGCTTTAGACAGTAGAATTCTCCCACTGAAGACACAATGGCAAATGATAGTTTCCTAAGAATAATCCCACAACTGTGTCATTTAAATGCTGCAATGGACTGTAAATGCATGTCATTTTTAAAGGACCAGTTTCTCTCACAGTCTTTTGAGTCTCAAAGTCTCCGAGTTATATATACACTGGCATTTATTCACGTACACCAAGAGCTGTTGACAGTAATGCGTCTGTGTCAGGAATGGCCATTCACTACTGAGACTCGGGAGGGATTGTGGGTAATATGTTGTCCTCGAGAGATTAATTTTTCTCAACTTACATTTATCATCCACCAGTGAGGACGAGAGGAGGATGGAAATGAAGTTTGTGAAACCTCACTTTAAAATATAGTTTTTCTTGTCATGGTGTAAAGTTGTGTTTCCTGCTGGAATGCTTGTCTTTCTGTTGACAGCCTTCGGTATAAATGACACTGACTGATGTTCTTTTTTGCACATTTGTGCAGTTAATAACATTGATTAGACAAGTGTAGCACACACGCGTTCAAACTCTTGCCCATCTGTTACAATATAACCACACAAAATTGCTCTTCTGAAAAAAAAATAAAAAAAAATAGACAAAACAGGAAAATGTACAGCTTTGTAACTTTTTGACAGGTTTGTAATTTTTTGTCAGAGGCTGAGACATAAAAGCTCATAACGTTTCTGCTACTGTACAAAGTGCATTGATATTTATTCATTTAATAGTAACAATCTCAATAAAAAACAAGTAAAGTGACAGTATAACACATCACAAAGGGTTGGTTTTAAAGCTGATACAGTTTATTAAACATGTTATATATCGAATGTAATACATGAGATCTTTTTGGCACCCAAAAAAAATTAATAAATAATATGTTCTCGTTAAGTCAGTGATTCTACATCTAAATAAATAAACATACCATAACTTACTCTTTAATAAATATACATCATTTGTTATATAGATGCATTGCATCAATGTTTATTGCAGTTGGTCAACAGGGTCCAACAATGCTCGAGCTGAAAGGCTGTGTGTGTGTGTGTGTGTGTGTGTGTGTGTGTGTGTGTGTGTGTGTGTGTGTGTGCACGCACTGGGTTAACAGGACGTCCCACTGCAGCAGGTGGAAAAAGATTGAGGCCATATGGATGGACAGATAAACTCTGTTTGCAGTTACTCCAAAGAAAGTAAAATAACCAATACGATTAACCGCAGAGTGACAGATTAGGATATAAATGGATTATACAACAGCATTTTGATATTGTGCTGATATTTTGTTATTTCTCAGCTTGATAATTATTGGAATTATTTTGTACATTTAAAAAAAGGTGTGTGTGTGTGTGTAACAATGTAGTCAAGTTGAATCAGCCAAATTATTTGTTTTTTACGTGAATAAAAACAGTTACTAATTTAGATTCATTTTTTATAGTGTAAACAAAATAGCTTGCGTGAAATATCAGTTAAAGGGATAGTTCACTCAAAAGGACCATTTTGTCATCATAAAGGAAGATATTTTGAGAAATCATCATTATTATTATTATTATTTTTTTTTTGGATACACAATGGAAGTCAATGGTCACCAAAACTGTTTGGTTACCAACATGCTTCAAAATATCTTCTCACGTGTTCCACAGAAGAAGAAAAGGGTCATACAGGTTTGGAACGACATCAGGGTGAATACATTATTGGTTTCATTTTTGGGTGAACTATCTATTTAACTTTATTGCATAAAAGCAATATCATACTAGAAACCATGTTAATATTCAATATAGCACTATTGCATGATATTGCTTAAACATTTTTGAGAACCAAACAAAGAAAAGTTTCCGAATGCATAGGGTATTTGATTATGAACGTGGATACAGGATATTCTGTGGTGAAATCAGATTCGGTTTCATAACAATTTCTTTCTAGTTCCGCATGCTAAAAGATTCTTACGACCATAATACATGCACATTACTACACAAGTGTATTGCATAAATCTTCAAATTGGTTTTATATATATTTGTTCATATGTAAAAAACAAAATATATACAAAATAAATCAAAACAATTTGTATTAATGTTTGTTACAGCAGCACAAAGTCTGTAGACCTCTGTAAGCACATGGTTGGTTGAGTTTTAAGGCCGGGCGCGCGTTAGGGCTTAAGTCCTCTCCTGTAATTACATCAGTGCTCTAATGAACTCATCAGACTTACATGTGGCTTAAAGGGACACTCGTCTGCTTCCTGAGCGCAAGACAACCACTTCAGCTCTCATTTAGATTCATCGTAAATGTGAGCGACTTCATTTATACGCCAATTGTTTTCCTAGTCTCCGAAAAAAATGTTACGGTGACTGTTGCATGCGATTATCACATCTGCAATCTGTTGACATCACGTGTACATAAGTGTCTTATTGCAGCTGTAATCCACTAAGTATAGTATTATATAATATTATTAAATAGTATTATTTTTATGCCAACGCAAACATGATTGACTGCGGAAAGTGGAAACGAGGAGTTAGTTTAACTAATATCTGTGCTTTAATGTCTGATTACAGGAGATTCTTTCGGTGGAGTTCAGGGCTAAAATCATGACACGCTTTTATTTAGGCTCAGGTATTGTTCTTCCCACTTTAGTTCTCAGTATTTTTGGCCAAGGCTTGACAGGAGCTGAGTGGATTAGACTCATGTGTTATAGGATTTACACAAACTAAGTGGATTTGGTCAGGTTAACTAAGGGAAGACCTCGGGCGCAGATTTCCTGACAGCGCTCTGAGAATACACAGATTGCTTGCTGAGAGGTTACCTTCGATTCCAATGCACTTACAAGAATCCGAAGGAATGAAAACCCTCTGACAATGAGAGGAACCTTTGGTATCTGCAACTGTTTCTGGAGGGATTCCTGAAATGGCTGGAAGCAATGAGCAATGAGAGATGTGTAGGTTTGGGGTCAATTTGGAGGTTTGTAAAGTGGTTAATAAACAAAGCTCAAGTGTGCATGTACTCCATAAACTCAGTCATGACGTTACTAAACGCATTCACTCCCACTGCAGAGTCGGCTGCCGTTGACGTCGCCGACGAGTACGCACTTTTAGCCAATCAGCGATTAGCAGGGAAACGTGATCATTCATGAGTGACGGGTATTTAGTGCGATAACTTGTAGCTGTATATTGAAGGGATCTCTATACCAAAGTGGCATACATTTACAGTAAGTTGTATCTGTAGTAAAGAGTGGGAGAATGACCCAACTCTCAAAACGTGGATTACACCTGTGGTGGGAGATGACTCGAAGGCTCTTTATAAATATATCGAACTCTGTTTTGCGTGGGTTTTTAAGAGCTTTTGGGCTGGAAATCGTCTACCCGATCTGGGAACACTGGAAATTCTGCTCCTACTGTTTTTAACTTGTTATATATTATGAATATGCAGGGATATTGTTTTTATTTGTCTCTTTGAGTTTGTAGTGTTCGGAAGGATTTGAAAGTCTGGTAGTGTACTTTCCTCAGTTGTTAAGTGCATGATTCCCAATTTTCTTGTGTTTTCCCAATTTCCCAATGTTGACTATATCAAAGCTGAGGTAGATGTTTAGTATAATTAATATGTTCGTTTGAACTTCATGTTGGGAATGTTTTGACTTTGAAATACTAGAGACTCAGAACTGAAACCTTTCAGAATTGTTGCGATGTCAGTTCTTTTCCTTTTTCAGCACAATGAGGAAGTTTTGTTCAGCATTGGGTGTGCCTTTGTGCATTTTGCTTTGTTTACCGAAGCCCTGAATTCATTTTCTGGAGGTGTTCTGCATTTCAACTCTGAGCTCAACCTTCACTCAGCATTTCAAGCTATTTGAAATAGACCCACGAAGGCAATATAAACAAGACATACAGCAGCATCTCATTAGCAATGACTTAACATGGGAATAATTACTGTTTGCATGATACGTTTTCTGTTTCTCTTCATCAGGACTGGCAGAAGTTTCTGAGGGGAATCTGTCAGCCAAGTATTTTTCGGAAAGGCAAGCAAGACTTACGCTCTCGAATGCTTTTAGTCCAAACCAAGATGTTCTTCTCAGAATTAGAGGTCTATATTGTTCATTTAAATTTGTCTTGATTGATTAAAACATTTGATGGTTCCTAAATGTTTCGAGGACTCTCAAAGTCAGACGCATCCACATGCTTGGGCCGAAAACTCTCGGATTGTGTGGTATCGATTGAAGTTATCGAGGAAGGAGATGTCCTCCTCGTACGCGGTGGGCCGACAGCAGGGGCTGTGACGAGCCTTGTCCTTCTGGTCCTTTGTGAGCAGGCGCGAGCGCTTCATGAACGCCAGCGTCAGGTCATAGTTTTTGCGGCTAGTGGTGCACTTCCCGCTGCAGTAATGGAAGACTATAGTCTCGTCACTGACGTAGCCTAACCCCAGCTGACTGACCGTCACCTCCACCTCCCGCAGCGAGCAGGGTTTCGCTCGCTTTTTAGCCCGTTTAGTCCTTTTGCTCTGCTGGGCATCTCTACGGGCTTTCCTTTCCACCAGTGTCCCAATGACCTGCTTAAGCTCGCCCTCTGTAAAGCTCTGGAACATCTCCATGACTGAGAAAAAAAAGAAGGGTTCATTATTTTTTGCATTTAGCATGACAAAAACATTGACATAGTTTCAATTATATTATGCAGTTTTCAATGGAAGTCTATGAGGTAAGACATTGACTTAAGCTTTAACCTAAACTTTACAGCTGAAATAGTAAATAACAAATGCAAGCTGCACATATTTTGCTTTTCAACCCCTAGAATGTGTCAGACATCCCACCTCTCCCGGAAGGTCCAGGAGTCTCCTGCATGTCGATAGCTGGAAATTACACTCACCTAAAGGATTATTAGGAACACCTGTTCAATTTCTCATTAATGCAATTATCTAATCAACCAATCACATGGCAGTTGCTTCAATGCATTTAGGGGTGTGGTCTTGGTCAAGACAATCTCCTGAACCCAAGCTGAATGTCAGAATGGGAACGAAAGGTGATTTAAGCAATTTTGAGCGTGGCACGGTTGTTGGTGCCAGACGGGCCGGTCTGAGTATTTCACAATCTGGATTTTCACGCACAACCATTTCTAGAGTTTACAAAAAATGATGTGAAAAGGGAAAAACATCCAGTATGCGGCAGTCCTGTGGGCGAAAATGCCTTGTTGATGCTAGAGGTCAGAGGAGAATGGGCCACTCGAAATAACCACTCGTTACAACCGAGGTATGCAGCAAAGCATTTGTGAAGCCACAACACGCACAACCTTGAGGCGGATGGGCTACAACAGCAGAAGATGGTACCACTCAGAGATGAGTGGTACCACCGGGTGCCACTCATCTCCACTACAAATAGGAAAAAGAGGCTACAATTTGCAAGAGCTCACCAAAATTGGACAGTTGAAGACTGGAAAAATGTTGCCTGGTCTGATGAGTCTCGATTTCTGTTGAGACATTCAGATGGTAGAGTCAGAATTTGGCGTAAACAGAATGAGAACATGGATCCATCATGCCTTGTTACCACTGTGCAGGCTGGTGGTGGTGGTGTAATGGTGTGGGGGATGTTTTCTTGGCACACTTTAGGCCCCTTAAGTGCCAATTGGGCATCGTTTAAATGCCACGGCCTACCTGAGCATTGTTTCTGACCATGTCCATCCCTTTATGGCCACCATGTACCCATCCTCTGATGGCTACTTCCAGCAGGATAATGCACCATGTCACAAAGCTGGAATCATTTCAAATTGGTTTCTTGAACATGACAATGAGTTCACTGTACTAAAATGGCCCCCACAGTCAGATCTCAACCCAATAGAGCATCTTTTGGATGTGGTGGAACGGGAGCTTCGTGTCCTGGATGTGCATCCCACAAATCTCCATCAACTGCAAGATGCTATCCTATCAATATGGGCCAAGATTTCTAAAGAATGCTTTCAGCACCTTGTTGAATCAATAGCCGCGTTTCCACTGCCGGGCCAGGGCCAGGCCGTGCTAGTGCGTGCCAGGGCCAGTCGCGTTTCCACTGTCACTTCCGGGGCTTGATCGGGGCTTACTCGGGGCCAACGGCCAGGATTTCTGGCCCGTCGAATACCTTGGGCCAAAGCGGGCCAGCTCGGGCTAGAGGAGTGGTTACGAACAGAGGCGGAGTTTACCTGAGTCGAGAGACGGGAGCGCCGAATGATTCTGTCAGCATTAAAGACTTTTAAAATAATTTAACTCACTTTCATGTTTTAATGCCTTCTGTTTGTGATCCGATGTGGATTCTGATCACCGTATAAGGTAGAAATATTTATACGCGATGCAAAAGACTATGCGCGCTAACCATTACCATAGTAAACATATTAAACGCTTGAAGATACGCATAGTAAAAAAAACATGGTGAACGCTTGAAGAAGTCAGACCAATCATAAAGGCTATCACAATCATGTTTTTATTTTATCTGTCACTAGGCCTACGTCTCGTCTCTTTATAGGCTACCGGACTATCGTAAAAAAAGCTACTTTTTTTTCGGGAGCTTCCTGTTTCTCTGACTGAAAATATCTGTAGCCTAGCTACTGGGAGTCGAGACTGTGCTAACGCTCCTCAGGTCGTATTTTTTGTGGCATTGCATATAACGTTATTTGTAGAAATGATCATTCTTTCTAAATGTGATGGTATGTCCTGTAACTACCAAATAAACAGAAACAGCCTCGACTGAATAATGTAAGTGTGTCCTCTCTTTTGTAAAATAGACCTAACGGTAATTTATTTCTGTGACTAATGTGCAATTTTGACATAAATTAATTAATTATGATCAATGTATCACTTTTTATTGTAAACCTGTGGTAAAACATCGATGCTTGGGTTTTAAATATTCAAGTAAACAACAAAAATGCCAGCAAACGGCCGCTTTTATCATGTTTGTTTTGCGATGCACGCTGTTTCCAGTGATTTCTTTCTGATTATTTTTCTGATAAAACTTCCATTTGTTGGTGAAATGATGGGTTGGTGTGACGTTGTTCCAGAGAGGCGTGTTGCGGGCGTTTTTTAGTGACGCGCTGTGGAGCTTCTGGCCCGACAGTGGAAACACAGGCCAGGTGCTACTGGCCCGAGGCTATTAGCCCGGCACGGCCCGTTTAAAGCCCTGGCCTAGCACTGGCCCGACAGTGGAAACGCGGCTAATGCCACGTAAAATTAAGGCAGTTCTGAAGGCGAAAGGGGGTCAAACACAGTATTAGTATGGTGTTCTTAATAATCCTTTAGGTAAGTGTAAATATAATATCCCGGAAATCGAGCGAGCGAGAGAGAAAGTCTGTTTCCACCTAATATTAAGATGCATTTCCGTTACCCCTGGTATTATCACGTGTTTCAAATGCGTCTTCTGTGACCACTCGCGTTCGGATTTTGTGGAGACCCTCGCCCCTTTTTTCATCGCACTCTACTACATCACTTTCACTTTCTGTGCTCAAATACTATTGAATGAATTCGAACCCATGTTAGGTGGCTTATGTGAATGTTATGGGGGTGTTGTGCCATCTCCTGGAAATGAGTAAACTAGTCCCAGAGGTAGTGGAAAACGCATCTGACCGTATGCTTTTGTAGTGTAGGCGCTCATGTGGTCATGTGTGTTCAAACAGCCACAAAAGACCGTCTACTCTCCGCCTACTGACCGAACGCGTAAACATTATGGGAAGCGCACTAGCCAGATGAGATTTAAACATTGTTGGCTGAAGACCCAAGTCTGGTTTGAAGATGAAAAACAAATGGGTTTGTTCTCTCACCATTCCCGACATGTGGTCTTGCAGCTGTCAGAGCAGAAATGAAAGCTGCTGCTTTTTCCATAGTCTCCAAGCATGTTCATATCTAAATTGAACAAGCTTTTTTCGTTCAATTTAGATATAAACACACACATTTACCCGCCCATAGACCCTCCCCTCGAAGAAATCAGGACAGAAATGGTTGAAAGTGGACAAAAGAGACTGATTAAAACACCAGGTGTAAACGGGAATGTCTCCCTCGTCTACTTGTGCCGATCAACCAAAACGCATCTTAATACCAGGTGTAAACAGAGCATGTATTGGGGTGGATATTTACATTGTTATTGCTTTCATTAAAGGGAAAATGTGATCCGAAGAGAGCACACGTCACTCCTCTCCTCACAAAATTGCACTGGTTGCTGTTTGCCTACAGAACAACCACTGGCTCTGCTCCCTTTTACCTAAACTCATTACTTCAGACTTCCGTGCCATCCAGAAACGTGCGCTCTGCAAGTGAACGCCGTCTTCTGGTGCCATCTCAGAGAGGCACAAAATCTCTTTCTCTGACCTTTACCTGGTCTGTTCCCTGCTGGTGGAATGATCTGCCTAACATTTTCAAGAAGCGGCTGAAGACGCATCTTTTTCGGCAACACTTGATCCATTAAAACTGACACTTTATCTTCTATTCTATATCTATATATTTTTTTTAAAAGGTACACGTTCTTGTTGTGTAAATGCATTTGTGTACTTCATATTCTTCAATCTCTTAATCTTCAACAGAAGAGAGAAACGAATCTTGCTGATTTTCTACTGATTTTAACAAGTTATAGATATAATTTAGATCCCTCAACTCTTTTCTCAAACCTAAAATCTAAACAAATCTAAAATCTTATCAAAAAAATAAAATATACATTTGATATTATATACAAATATACAATTATATACATAATTCACATGATTGAATATTTTGAAATGTGCTGGCACCAGAATGAAATGATATAATTTCAAATTAAAATGAACAAAAACATTTGGTTGAAAACAATCGTATTGCTCATAAAAACTATAGAATCAACCAATTAAATATTCATAGATTTGTGAACATTTGTATGTCTGTAAAGTTGTTCATACATAATATTATGTCAATAATATGTTTACATTTTCATGTCTAAACCTAAGTAAAATAATGCATAGTAGAACCACATTTTATCTGAAATACAGAAAAGAACTCATGAGCTCATGTTGAGAAACCTTTTTTTTTTTGGTTTGTTTGTTTTTTGTTTGGTGACCACAGTGAATTTGAACTGCAGGGGATATTCTGGTTATCAGATTGATGGTTAAATTCACATGAAATTCTGCTTATCGGGATTATTTTACCACCTTGTGTGAAGTGAGTCTTATCTTCTATAAAGATTTCTGGGTGGCCTGCATGCTAAATGCAATCTGATTTAAACAAAGATATAAGTTGCGCTATAATATGAGAACATAAAGGCATATGATCTTACACTCTGAGACGAAAGAGTTTCCTCCGTCAGCTGATCTGACCCTCCGTTGCCGCCCACCAACCCCAGTGGAAGGCGACGGATTACTGGTGTGTACTGAAGATGATGGTGGTGAAAACGATGAGGATGAAGCTCTGCGGTGGGGAGGAGGGGGCGGGGCTCTGGAAGAGGAAGTGGTTTTAATGACAAGCAGGGGGAGTGCAGCACCACAGAGAATCAGGCCGAGGGCAGCAAACTTCCATAACTTCATTTTAGAATGAGGAGAAGCATTGGGCCCCTGCAAAACAACCAAACACCCATCACTCAAAATGTAAAACAAACACTGTTATTCTATTTAGATTTTGTCATCACACATCAGAAACATTAGACATGATATTCATTTTGTCAGATTATACGCTACTATGGCGATCATTGGAGAAAGATGTTTTTTTTATCCCCATAATGGTCTAATAATGATTCACTAGACAGGCTCAAACACTTGCTGTTTTTAATCTAAAAACTTATTTTTGTAGTCTGGCATTTGACGCTATGTGAGAGATGCTTTTTTTTGTGTCTTATTGTTTCCTTCTGTGCCGTTGACTGTATGTATCATTGGTATGTGATATGTGTGAACAGAACTTTGATAAACACTTGCTGTTTTTAAAAAGTGCTTTATAAATAAACTTTGACTTTGACTTAATAGTTTAACTAATGTTAAACTGGGAAGTCAATGGCTGCATCCGAAATCGCATACTTCCCTACTATATAATAGGCGGAAAACAGTATATGACAAACGAAGTATGTCCGAATTCACAGTATTCATAAAAGTGTAGGGAAAAAGTACCCGGATGACCTACTTCTTCCGGCGAGATTCTAAAGTGCGCACTAAAGACACTTTACTATCCCATGAGGCCACAGGAGAGCATTTATGAATGGCAGTGAAGCAACGTAACTGACGCTGGTAGGTCACATAATGACAACATGGCGAATGTAGTTTGTCCAGATTACATTCATACCACACACATTCATACTATATAGAACATACTTTTTTAGCTGTCTTGAAGTAATTACTTAAAAAGTGTTTCTTTACAAAAGTGACATCGCCAACTACTGGCCTGGCAGCATAATAGCTACAGTGTTTTTAATCATTTTCGCGGATCCAAATGGATGGGGATTGTTTTGATAAGGTTGTCATCTGTACGCGAAAAACGCAAAGGAAAATCTTTTACATTTTTAGTACATTGTTGTCGTGTAAACGTATCAGTTATCATTTCATTCTTGTGTTTCTGTTTCTTGTGTTTGCTTTCTGTCTAAGGCCTTGTCCACACGGACACGGGTATTTTTATAACCAGAGTTTTTCCTACAGCGTTTAAAAAAAAATCCCGTCCACACATGCTCGGTCTCCGTCTACATGAAAACGCAAAAACACGCTATCGAGCGCGGTCAAGAGCATGCCACGCCAGCAGGCGGCGATATAACCCTTAACCGTAAAGCCACGTTGGCCAATCAGAAGCGCAAGTCGCAAGGCAAAAACCCCGGTTTCACTGTCTACACGACAACACTGTAACCGGCGTTTCTGAAAATCCTCACCCTGGCAGGGGTTTTCAAAAATGTTCGGTTTCAGTGCGTTTTCGTGTGGACGAACGGCCGAATCGCGTAAAAAAAGTCACGGTTATAAAAATACCCATGTCCGTGTGGACAGGGCCTCACTCTTGATTTACCCTTGTTAGTTGCCTTGGTTATTGATTAGTGTCACCTGTGTCTAGTTAAGTTGCCTTTGCTCTCCTCTTGTGTATATAGCTATGTATTTCAGTTGTTTCAAGCCAGTTCTCAACCTTGTTTATTACGTGGTTTTTGCTTATTTATTACTCCTGTTAATCTCCAACGATCTCCTGCGTGTTTTCAAAGAATATTCATCTTCGTGTGTGTTTGCTTACCACAGAAAGTGTGACAAGCATGAGTTTGGGGCGAAGCTATGTGTTTAGCCAAAGAATGTCAGAAAGGAGGAGTGGCTGAGAAACCTGTTTAAAAACAATTATTTTTGTCAATTCTGTTTGGTTACCACAGTGGCGCAGAAATTACGAACTTTAAATCTGACACTCATTGATAATCTCACAACCACATGTGATTTGTTCGATATTGCGTTGATCAGATTAGACTTAAGAACATGGAAGAAGACACAGGGCCCTATCATACACTCAGAGCAACGCAGCGCAAGGTGCGATGCAAGTGTTTTTTGCTAGTTTCAGCCCGACGCAGTTATCATTTTCACCTCCTGCGCCACCTGGTTAAATAGCAAATGCATTGCGCCCCTCTGTTCCCCCATGGGTGTGCTGGTCTGAAAATGAGGTGTGTTGGCGCTTTGCTATTTTGAGGCAACTGAAATAGACTGCACCATTGACCAACATAAACCTGTTTTTCATTTTTTTATTTAGTTAGTTAGTAATATGCGCCTAGGCCGGTGCAAAACGCGTGCACATTCTGCTTATTACACACACAGGGGTGCCATTGGGGGAGCAGCACACAAACTAGCCACATATTTAAAATAAAATGATTACAGTGTTAAAGATTAATATTGTGTACATAAAGGTATGGTGGAATCCGGCTTGTCCCGTAGATGGTCTGCTTGCGCACTTTAGCGTCGTGCAGAGACGTTTCCTTGCTAATTTTTTTTTGCAAGGAAATTGCAAATTCCGACATGTAAATATTAAATCCGCCATGGCGCGAGCGCAACTGGCTTTTTAAGGGAATGGGAGATGAGACTCTGATTGGTTTATGGCACGTTACGCCCAAAACACACCCATTACTCATTAAGAGAATAAGGACAAGCCTTTTGCACCATTTTGTTAAACTAGCAAAAGTGTATTCGAACACGCCCTAAGTTCACTTACTCCGTGAGCTTTAGACCACGCGCTTAGATTGTTAAAATAGGGCCAATAATGTGCTAACTGCCCCCTATGGCACCCCTTGTGGCAACACTGAAAATACAATGTGTTGATACATTTGGGGAAAACAATGAAGCTCTCATACTTGGGTGGAATATGTTTCTTAAATTCCATTTATTGTTCAAATAACCACATTAACAATCACTTATTCGTCTTTTTTGGCTGCACTGATGATTGACATTGATGTTTGACACTATTGTTATTCTCAAAAATGGTTCAAGGACAGCAGTCCAACAATTACAGAACTGCTGCACCAACAAACGCCAAACCAAATTAAAACATCTTAGATTGTGTATTCTAAATCTTTCAGCTACATATGAGCAGCCTCGTGCAAACCAAGTTGTTATTCCAAAGATTTCATTCACAGATGTTTGCACAAGTGGTTTTGCCATCCGTAACTTTTCTGCTCCTCTGTTGATCTCATTCGGGTCGCAGGTCTCGGAACGCACACAGGTGTGGATTGTCCATCGTTTTCATGTGGCCCAAATCGTCTGTATCCAGAACATACACAAACTGCCACATGCTGCCGATGCGCTCTTGTGTATTGTTTTACTTTTTCAATTTATCAGATGGGGATAAAATGGTGAGTTCCAAGCAAAACAGATTGCGTTTCCTCCTGGGCCGTAGTGCTACTCTGATCACAAGCTTCTCCTTTGGCAACGTCACAACAAACACAAGAGAAGTACATCAGTAGGGTTTCTTCAGTGATTTCCCTACATCCACATAAATATTTATTTTCCATTTTTGCTCTGTTAGACACAACATATCTGCCAGGTATGTTTATTTCTGAGTGAGATGTTTTTAGGATCAGAGGGCTTTTGTTACAGGACTAGAATAAGTGGCGATACCAAGATATGGTGATCATCATCAGATGGTAATACCCAGTGTTGGGGAAAGTTACTTTTAAAAGTAATGCGTTACAATATTGCGTTACTGTCTATAAAAAGTAACTAATCATGTTACTTAAGTAATGTATTAGTAACGTTTGAGTTACTTTTTCTCACGTGGGCTGGGCTTGCTTGTTAGATTTTTTTAACAACAAAAAAAGTTATATTTTTGGCAAATGTAAAGGCCCTTTCAAACCAAAAGTGCAAATGCAAAAGCAAATTCACTCATGTACAGTAGAGGGCGCAGCTCAAACAAACCTCTCAGATGTTCTGGATTACTGAAGAATAGGACGCAGGAAAAGACAGATCAACACTCTTACGTCAGTAATGAAAAAAAAAGTGTGATTTCTGCTTATTGCTATGGATGAATTGGATCAATTGGATCATCGAAGGTCAGCAGCAAAGACATTGGTTAATAAAGTGGGATTAAATACATAAAGTATATTTGTGCTATTTAATGTATTTAATTAATTGCAGGTTTGCGTAAATATTCTGAGATTGTTTTTATTCATTTTGAGGAATACCGAATCTGTTTTTGTGCAAGTGAGAAGAGCAAATGCATGCTCACATTTATAGTCTAAAACTACAATAACCATCATGTTTATACAGTCCACCCAACACCCAGGTTTATGCTCAGGCTGTGGTAGGCTTCATGACTACCAAGATCTGTATTGCTTGCTTCACACAATTAGCAATTACTAAACTTATGCCAGTAGGAGACTAGTTTCTTCTTACTTTCTTATTACCTCAAATTATATATATAACGTGTTTTGGAGAAATGCATTTATTTCGTAATGTGATTCTCCCCCCAATTTCAATTATTTTAGTTCAATGAAAGGTTCCATTTTTTTAATGGAAAATCAAAAGGATAAACAATGCAGATTTATTTGTACAGCCATCTTTGATCATATTTACCAGGAGTGCCAATAATTCTGAGCACAACTGTATATAGTTGTAATCGAAATGATTCAACCCCCATTGCAAATCAGGTTTAGTGGCAAACTTTACAGACTTTCAGCTGTTTGCAATGAACAAATCAAACAAAAGTAATTGAAATAGCTCAACACAACAAACGTTTCAAGTGGCTTCAACTGAAAATTCAACTTTTAATGACTTCTGCAGTCTCGAAATTATTCAACCATTTCATGGCAAGCATCTTTAGTACTTAGCCCATTCCTCATGAGCAATGGTCTCCAGTTCAGTAATATTCTTGAGTTTGCGTGCTGCAACCGTCTTCTTCAAATCCCACCAGAGATTTTCTATGGGGTTCAAGTCAGATGACTGTGATGGCCACTGTAGAATCTTCCAGGACTTCTTCTGCAACCAAGCCTCGTTGGAAGGTCCAATGACGGCCAAGCTTCAGCTTCCTCACTGATGACATGACGTTTTCTCCTATGATTTCCTGATACTTCAATGTATCCATCTTTCCTTCCACACACTGCAGGTTTCCAGTGCCAGAGGATGCA